GAGTTTGGGAAAATTTGGAGATATGGACTAGAAAAAGCCTAGAATTCTATAAATCTGGCTTAATGGGTGATTATGATGGAAGCTTAGAAAATCAGAATGCTGTCAGGAATGTGGACAGTAATGACCAGTTTAAGAGGTATCAGAAATTAGAACTCTGTGGAAATTGGACTAATGATCATTCATGCTACATTCTGACACAGATCACGTTTGTATTTTGTCCATACCCTGAACCTTTGTGGGAGACTGAATTTAAGTATGATGGACTAATTTACTTGGCAGAAGAAATTTAAAAGCATCATCACATCCAGGTGATGGAATGGTTTTGATATCAGTCTAAGCCAGATTTGCTGTGAGCAAAAAACAGAGTGGAAACATGAAAAACTTGCAGTTTGGTCAGAAAACGAGGGTGCTGAAAGTTGAGACCAAGAAGGGATCAGTTAAAGAGATCAGCACCATTAAAAAATCAAGCCAGGTGTGATTCTTGCACTGAGGGAGTCTGAAGCAGGAGGCCAGAAAGCGTGAGTCCTGCCTGGACAATTTAGCAAGACCCTGTCTTAGAGAAAAGTTAGTAATAGCCAGGTATGGTGGTGTATGGCTATAATCCCAGCACTCGGGAGGCTGAGGCAGGAGGATCGCTGTGTGTTTGAGACCAGCTTGGGCTACATAGTGAGTTCCAGGTCATTCTCAACTACATAGTGAGACCCTGTCTCAAAAAAACCAAAAACAAAAAGTTAGTAAATAGACAAATAAATAAAATTTTAAAGGGGGATGGGAATATATCTCATTGATAGAGAGCCCCAAGGTTCTATCTATATACTTTGTACCAATATAATAGGAAAGATGGCATGCTGCATTTTAGGAATCAACAAGAGCCCATTTGTTGCAGGCTTAAGGGTATAAAAACATAAACTCCTCTCAAAGACTTTGCTTTGAGAAGAGAGCCTTAAGATGCCCTACACTGCAGGATCACCTAGGAATTGTTTCTCTGGTGTTCCCTTCCAAGCCTTCAGCCCTCCAGGCACACACAGGCTGCTACAGCTGTGATTGAAGTAGACCCAGCTACTTGCACCAAGGCAAACCTTGGTGTCAACCATGTGATGTTGGTTTTTCAGGCAAGCAGGATGCCAAAGTCATGCAGTTTGGGAGATTTCCACCAAAATTTCAAAGAAAAGCCTAGGTGACTATCAGTGTGTGGCACAAAGTCCCTACAAGCAGGCTCTGACAGGGCCACATGTAGAGCTGTGAAAGAAAACTGAAATTGCAATGGAGACCTCAGGAAGTTGGAGATTCCAGGAACTTGATAACCTGTTGAGAGAAGCTGCAGGCGGTGAGCAGAGCCAGTTCAAGGGAGTGGCCATGGGGGCTGCAGCTGGCAAGGCCATTGGGTAGAGCTGCCCTGACATCATATTTAGGTGGGCCCCAGATTCAGGACCCAGAGAATTTGATTTGTTTCTCAACAATTCTAACACAGGCTCCCTTATTACTCCATTTTAAACTTTCTGGATCAGGATGTGGCTTATAACTGTCTTAGAATTGCTGTTGGCAAACTGTCCCCTTTTTAGTGGTACTTAGAATGATAGTACCTTCCCCAACCCGCAGGACTTGGATTTGATGAAATACAGAAGAATCTCAGTCACTGGAGGGGAATGGACATACTCTCCCCACTTTTGCTGTGTAGCTCTTTGCTTAGGTCCCTTGGACTGGTTTTTAATTCTAAGGAGAGGATAAAAAGCATAAATGAAGGAGTTGTTCCACCAAGTGCTAAGGGACAACAGGGCACAAGATGTCCTAGAGTCCCTTACAGTGCTGAGATGTGCACGCTGCTCCCTGGCCTGGGACTGTGGCATGGGATTAGCTCTTGAGGAGAATCTCCTGTCCCTTAAAACGCACCAACCTGAGATGAGCTTCCTCAGGGCTTCAGGCAAAGGGGGAGGAGTCTCCTCAGCCAACACACTAACAGCTTCCTCAGCTGGCAAGAAATAATCCAAGGAGTTCAAAGAGGCTCAGAGTGCTCAAATCCATCCAAATGCACCCAAATGCCCCATTGCAATTCAGAGTCCTTCTAATTCCTCATAAATTCTGAGATTTACAGGACACATGGTAAGGCAGTGAATTCAGTATCTGCTGTAAATTCTAAAATCCACAGATTCAAGTTTTGGGCACAGCGAGGCTTTACCTTAGCAGCCCCAAGAAACAAAAGGTTCTTTTAGGTTGTTTATTAAAAATTTCTGGGTTTAGTTGAAAACTAAAATCCCTGAGCATAGTTTTCTTTTCATAAACATCTGTGCATTCTGAACAAGTCAGCTTACTCTTATTCCCTGTGCCCCACCTCATTTGCATCATTGTCCCTTCAGGTGACTATCTGCACCCACAGAGCATGGACTTCATCCTCCACATGCAGACAGTGACTGTGTCATTGTGTGAGTCACTGCAGCTGTGCACCACCAGTGTCCCACTTCCTCCCTGATGAAGTTATCACTGCCTTCAGACATCTCCAGCTTGATAGCCAATTCCAGAACACTGCAGCTGTAGACTGAGATGTTTGTGTCTTTCAGAATTCATATGAAGTCTAAGTGCCCACATTTTGGGACCTTTGGGAGTAACTAGACCATGAGGGTACAGCCTTTAGTGCCCTTCAGTGAGATTAGTGCCCTTATCAAAGAGGCCCAAAGCAGTCTGTTGGCCTTTTTCGCCTTTCTGCCATGGGAAGACATAAAAGGCACCATCTGTGAGGAATAAATCCACCCAGATGTGAATCTGCTAGCCCCTTGATCTTGGACCTCCTAGCTCCCATAATTCTGCCATAAATTCTGTCAAGGTATTCTGTTACAGGAATCCAAAGGAACTGAGATAATACCTTTCTGACTGTTCCCTGGAGCCTGGAGACTTTACTAGTTTCCAGTTGAGAAACACATCCCAGATTATTTCAAGCAGAAAGGGATTTTATTTATGGAACCAGAGACTTTTAAAAACAGGTGGAGCAAAGTGTGTAGTGCGCACACTTGTTCACTGTCTCAGAACCTAAGGACAGGAAGCCTCCTGGAGGACACCTGGGGCAGGAGCCAGCGTTGGCTGTGCTGGGCTTCTCCTACTGCCCACTGCTGTAGCGTCTGTGTGTCTTTATGCTGTCACAATGCATGAGTATCTGTTCTTGGCACAATGTAAATCCTAGAGCTTCAGAGGCAAGGGGTCTGAGAAACCTAATAGCCTGGCTTCTGAGGAAGGCAACAGAGGGTTGACAATAAGAGGAAGTCACTCAGGGTTAGAGCTTAGCATGTGAGAAGTCCTGGGCTCATTCACAGCACTTAAAACAATGAAAAGGAGCGAAAGCCCCATAAGGGCTGGCACCTCGTTTTAAAATCTCCTAAGATCGTGTGTAGCTTCCCCTCAATGGTAGTTACTCTTCCTGTGGGAATCCCCAGCTCTGCCTCACCCACAGCCAAGTGTCTGTCAGTGACCAATCCAGAGGCCAATTGTGCTGTACCCCAAACCTGCTAAAATGCACCCTCTAAAGGTGACCTTAGAAGAACATCTCAGTACATTTACTACCAGAACTAGCAACAATCCTCATTCCCTCTGGGAAGCCTGCCTTTTCTCCTGCAGCCAAGCTAACTTTCTGAAGCTCATTGTTGTTGCAAAGCCCTGAAACCCGAGGGCTACATCTGAGCACCTGTGCTCTGTCCAGATTTGCTAGTGTGGTCAGGGCAGGTTGGGCACAGGCCACTACCTAGAGTCACCACTGCTTCAGCCTCCTATGTGTGCATATGCATGTTACTTGTGCACATAGCAGCAAGTGCTGGCGGCTGCTGTTTGCTCTGTTTAACTAAAGACAAAGTTTACAGTAGGGTCCCTGCTCCTACCAACCCCTCCCAATCCCTCACTTCAGAGAAAATAAAAAATGTACAGCTGCAGGCCTGTGCCACTCAGCAAAGAAAAAGACAGTACAGCTGAGCTACAAGTCAGATAGTATTAAAAGCCTAACGATTATGGAAGAATTATGAAGACAAATATATTATTATAAATTTTAATAGCTGAATTGTTTTTCTTTTCAAGTATGGTGGTGCACACCTGTAGTCCCAGCACTTGGCAGGCAGAGGTAGGGGGACTGCTGTGAGTTTGAGGCCAGCCCAAGCTACATAGTGGGTTAAAGCCAGGCCCTGTCTCAAAAAAACAAGACAAAACAAAATAAAAATCTAAATTTGTAAAAGAGGAAAAAAAAGTAAAGGCATGTTATACTACTCAAAACAGATAAAGGAAAAACTGGGTCTAGGTCTGGTTCTAAGCCTTAAAAATTCCTTGAATTAGAAATGTACAACGAAGAGGAGATGGCTGAGGCCTCACTAGCCTTACAGAGATTGCCCAGCTTCCTGGACGTCAGAGGTCATTCTTCCTGAGTCAGCATGAAGCCTGGATTCCCAGAACCAACTGCACACCAGGCTCCCAGGGAGAGTTCATAGTTGTGCCCAGGCTTTCCCTGGAGATTTGTGTGGTGTCAGTTGGTTTCTATTGTTGTTGCTTTAAGTTTCCCAGATGATTCCAAACAGGCAGGCTGGTTTGAAAACTCTAGTTTAGAAATTTAAAAATATCATCTAAAGGTGCAGTGCCAGTCACCACTGTTTTAAAGAAAACAGACATCCCTGTCATTTTCATGTTACAGATTTTCAACTGTACTTTTCCATAGTTGCACCACGTTGCATTTTAGCTAGCAGTATATGAGAATTCCTATTAATATACCAATCATTGCTACTGTCAGTTTCAAAATTTTTAAATCTAGTGGATACACTATTTAAAACCAATCACTATGGCTTTAAAGGGCTTTCCTGATTAATAATGACACCCAGCACCTTTCATGAATGTCGGCGTCTGGCTTTCTTCACTTTTAATGCACTCGCGTTAATTTATCCACTTTGTAATTGGGCTGTCTTTAATTCTTACACATTCTGGAGAGTAGTTTGGGTCAACTATGTACTTCACAAACACTTTCTGCTGTCTCTCTTTACCGCGTATTCTGAAGGACTGCTTCTCAGCCTCGGTCCAACCGTCGACCAGGTAGGGCGGCCGCCTCGCACGCTGCGCGTTTAGTCCTTCTCCGGAGCTCTCGCCTCTGTAAGGCGGCTTCCGGTCTCTGCACCATCTGTGACCGGTTATCAAAAGGAAGCGATCAGTTTTTCATTAGCTTTTACCTATAGCCTGTAATATCCATAAGCGTTTTGTGTTCGTTAAGGTCTCCAGCACTACCAATGAAAACGTAGTTTTAAACTCATTTAGAGGGGAAACGATTAAGAGAAAACACCTCGCTGAGGAGCCAAGGAACAAAACTCCCTTCCCCCAAAGCCCTCACCCAGCAGACGCCTCGCCCGCCTTCTCCCCCGAGCATGCGCGTCAGACTTGGGCTCCAGGCACCGCACTCTGAAGTGCGCCTGCGTAGAGAGACGCCCCGCCTCCCGGCTCATATAAAGCCTCGAGCTTCTCCTCGCGAGATACTCCGTGCTTATGCTCGGGGCCGGGGTCGGAGGTCAGGGTGAACGTCTGGCGGCCAGAAGGAAGAAGATGGCGGTAGAGTCGCGCGTTACCCAGGAGGAAATTAAGAAGGAGCCAGAGAAGCCAATCGACCGCGAGAAGGTGGGGCGCGGGTGCTGTGGGGTGCGGGAAGGAGCGGGGTGAGCCCCGCCATGCGGAGGGACGCGGGCTGTGCGCGGGAGGAGGTGTTTGTGTTCCGCGCAGTTCGAGGCCGTGATGCTTCCCTAACGGCTATGGGGTTGTGGGCAGCCCACGCACTGCTGCATAATTTTCACACCTCCCGGTCCTTTTTCCAGACATGTCCGCTGCTGCTGCGGGTCTTCACCACCAATAACGGCCGCCACCACCGCATGGATGAGTTCTCCCGCGGCAACGTCCCCTCCAGCGAGCTGCAGATCTACACCTGGTGAGGGCTTGCGGGGCACGCAGATCCCTCTGGGAGGACACGGTCTCCGGCTTCATCCCTCTTCCACTTGGACCAGGGGAGCGACCCAGGCTACACGGTTTTGATTTAAGGGAGAAGGAGTGGTTGCCTTCTTGTAACTTTAAAAACTTAAAATTAGCGTTGAAATCTTGGGGTTGTTACAAATTAATGCCTGTAATTTCAGCACTCCGGTTGGTTGAGGCAGGAGCATCATAAATTGAAGCTCAGTGAGATCCCGTCTCAAAATTTAAGAAATAAAATGGGGCTGGAATTCGGGCGTGGTGGCACACACCTGTAATCCCAGCACTCGGGAGGCTGAGGCAGGATCACCGTGAGTTTGAGGCCATTCTGAACTACATAGTGAAACCCTGTCTCAAAAAAAACAAAAGGGGTAGGTGTGGGGGTGGGGGTGCCTCTTGGTGATGTAGCTCAGTGCAAAGGCCCTAGATTCATTCACCAGTACTGCAGGAACTAAAAGACTGATGCAGCATTCCTAATCACCATTGCTGCCTGGTAGGAAAAAGATACGTAATTAAAATGTGACAGTCTGGAGTAAACGGTACTAGGCTGACACAATAAAGGGGAGTGGTACTGAGTGATGCTTGTTATATTCAAAGGTTAGAGCCTTAGTTGTCGTAACACCAAAACTAGAAAAACAAAAACAAAAACGAGTGACTTCAGCACCATAACTTAATGGAAAAATGTTTGGTGCATGTTTAGCAACAACTGGTGTCCAGGTGTTTCATCTCCTCTTAAAACTCCCTGCCCAGGGTACTGCCTAGGACCGTCCTTCATCCACCTGATCTTTAAGTACCTCTTTCAGTTGACATGATAATGGATGGCATTTAGGTAGCAGTAACAGGGTGTGTAATTTTAAAGTACATTTTTTTGTTGTTTAACATGAAATTTGCTGCTTTAACCATTTTTAAGTATATAATTGATGGCATTAACATTCACATTGTGAATTCAGTATTGTTTTCATTCTGTTGCAATCCCTATTTCTAAAACCTTCTTGTCCCTCACAACTGAAACATTGCACCCATTAAGCAGTAACCTTGTTATACCCCTGCCCCATAATTTCTGCTCTGCTTTTTGTGTATATTTGGCTATAAGTAATGAGGCATATGAGTAGACTCATTACAGTATTTGTCATTTGTGGCAAAATAGGCTCCAAATGGTAGCCTAAATGGTAGTATAAATATCTGACATTTTACAACTATTTGACTTTCTTGTTAAAGTTTTTATTAATTGTTGTTTTTATGAATTATAATTTATATTAATTTGGAGCCTTCTGTTTATTTTATTCTGCAACCACAACCCTAATTATTTCAACCTCAGCCCCAATGAATTCTGATGTTGGCATAAACTCTGAGGTCAGACCTAATTTTCTTAACTGTCTTGAAGGTGACTTTTTAAACCTCGTATCCTGATTATACTTTATCAGTCATTACACAGTGAATACTTGTATATGAAAAAGGACTTATTCCCATTCTTAAAACATTTTCCTCAGTGTCATTTTACTTATAATGTGAGAAGTAAAATGATCACATTACTATATATATTTAACAAGCACTTCCAAAAAAGACAAAGTCCCAATCTTCAAAGGATTGAATACTAGTGTACTGGTTTTATGTTTAAAATTATACATTGAAAGTACCCAGTAGGGCCAGGGATGTAGCTCAATGGCACAGTGCCTGCCTGGCAAGCACAAAGTCCTGAGTTCAATCCCTGGTACCAAAAAAAAAAAAAAAAAAGTACCCCGTGATGCAAGTAACATTTTTTTTAGTACTGGGGATCTAACTCGGGACCTTGCACTCACGAGGCAGCGGAACCACTGAGCTAAAAAGCCCCTGGCCTTATGATTGCTATCTTAAATTTTCTGTAGCACTGTATTGTGGTATTGTGTATGTGCACAAAGGATGCCTACAGTGATGTTAACTGTAGATTTCGGATGCAATTTATCGTATTCCTGGATATGGCTTTCTTCACCTCTTTTTTTTTTTGTACTGGGGATTGAACTTGCTTACCTCTTAAATAAGGTGTATGATCAAGTTGGGAAACAAAAGTCTACACAGTTGCTCCCCCTTGCATGGCACACAGTTGCTTTTGCTAAGGAGATGGAGAGACCTGCTAGCCTATCTTAGACAGATCTCTTTGAGAGTATTTTTCTCTGTTCCAGGCTTGTGTACTACTTTGTTCTGCTTGAATTGTGTGTGTGTATGTTTGTGTGTGTTGGCATGAAAGCTGGCCAACCCTATTATTTGATCTTTTGCCTGCTGGCAGGGAATGGAGGTGTGGTTTTTAGCACACTAGGGTGTGTATACTATCATCTCCCACTGTGACTGTGAAGAAGACCCACTGGCAACAGGGGATCTTTATTTTGTCTTTATATTAGTAAAACACTGTTCCAGCCAATATAAGTCATGTCCCTTTTGGGAACTACAACACTTATTACAAATCACCTGGGACTGCTTGCTGCAGTGTTAGATATTATTCTTTTCCCTGTTCACACATTCTCATAATGGTGGCTGTTGTTCAAGGTGTCTTTTTTTTATAAACAGAAACTTTAAGTCTGAGGTGGATATGAATTGAAGACAGCATATACAAGTTTAAATAATGAAAGGTTGAAATCAAGCAGTAAGGGAGGCATAGAGAAAAAATAGAAAAATAGATTTGACCTGCACTTAGAAGGTAGGTACTTTAAGCTTTGGATGATTTGGCATCTAGACAGGTAATTGCATATCAAGTGTAAGATACATTCCAATTTTAGCGTTCTAAGATGTAGAAGAGTGTTTTAGGGAGAAAATTGTTGAGTTCTGTTGTAGAAATATTGAGAAAGTTCTGATAGCAGTAGAAAATGGAAGATGATGTGATCATGTTTTTTGCACAGTTGTAGGTGAAGCCATAGGTTTGAGTATGGTGTGGTGATTTGTAAATAGGGTACAGAGCTAGAACTAAATGAGCTCTGTGGTTTGATTCACTCCTTGATGCACATTAAGAGTTCTTCCACCTTGTGCCACTTTTCTGCACTCTATAGGTGCTGTTTTTTTAATATTCTGTCCATGTCATTTTCCTGCTTGTAGAACACTATAAAAATGTACACTAGCTCATAGTTATTTCTGAATGCTTACATTTTAAGAGGTTTTTCCAGATTATGCCATATTAACTTGGGGAACTATGCTCAAGTAAATATTTGCAGAGTAAACATCTATACTGTGAAAGGAAGCCTGTGATTTGTTTATAAATTTAAAATTATTTCATAGGCTCTATGGCTCAATCATGTTATCTAAGAAAAACTGGCTCATTATGGAAATGCTTTCCTAGCATATTGATTTGAGGATGCACTCCAGTTTGGGAGAGTATAAGATGTGGAAGAGTTTGTGTCTTAAAAATAATTGAAGCCGGGCGTGGTGGTGCACGCCTTTAATCCCAGCATTTGGGAGGCTGAGACAGGAGGATTGCTGTGAGTTTGAGACCAGCCTGGGCTACATAGTGAGTTCCAGGTCAGTCTCAACTACATAGTGAGACCCTGTCTCCAAAAAACCAAAAAAAAAAA